AAAAAAACTTTTTAAAAAACCACGTTTTTCTTGTGGACTAAAAAGTAGAAAATAAATTGTTGCTCGCCCAAAAAAACGTGTGTCGGGCAGATTTATGATTAAAGCGAAAAGCACACAACACACGAATTTTGGAAATTTGATGGTGAACGTACAGGCCGACCCACGTTTTTTGGGGCGAGCAACAATTTATTTTCTACTTTTTAGTCCACAAGAAAAACGTGGTTTTTTAAAAAGTTTTTTTTAAGTATTTTATTTTCTCCTTTTTAGTCCGTTGCTACACATGAAAAACGTTGTTGCGAGCCAATTTACTTGCCTTGACGTACGTATAGATGATACGCAGCGTCAGCGCCTGCTCGTCTATAACGTGAGCGCCCGCTCGTCATACTATATATATAGTATTTATATACTTTACTCAAATAAACTAATTTAGGTCTCTAATAGCTATAGTTTTTTTTATTATATCTGAAATTGTTAGGCGAAAATAGCCTGCATGCCGAATTTCAGATCTCTATAGAGTCTAGAGCAATCAGAAGTGGGCAAATTTTCGTTGTCAATGTTAACAACAAACAAACAAACGCGAAGCTGAGTAAAGAAAAACGTGTTAAAAACATATAAAAAAACATTTAAAAACCATGTTTTCTTAACAGACAAAAAAGAAAAACATTTACTCCTACATAACATTTAAGTTATGTAAAATGTTGTGTAATGTTATGTAAGAGTGAATGTTTTTCTTTTTTGTCCGTTAAGAAAACGTGGTTTTTAAAAGTTTTTTTTATATGTTTTATTTCACTATTTTTAGTTTTTTAAAAACCAGAAAAACGTGGTTTTTAAAAATATTTTTTATATTTATTTATTTTCTACTTTTTAGTTAGCAATTTTAGTAATTCAAATCAATTTCCAGGGTTGGCAAGTGTGGATGTTCGAGAAAAAAATTTAATTATAAACCGTGAATTTTTAGTGTTTTTTTTTACTTTATAATTTTTTTTTACATTTTTAATTATTATTTCTGATGATCAAATCTTGAATTTTTAGGCAGCATAAACATGCATGCCAAATTTCAACTTACTAGGATGTTTAGAAGTACTCTAAATTAAGGTTTGAATTTTTGATGACAGACACACACGAAACGAAGTAAAAAAAAACGTGGTAAAAAGGGCTTCGTTACTCGATAGGTATGGTCTTTACAAATCAAATGGTATATCACGTATATGTCTCATCGCTGTAGCTTCAAAACTCTAGGAGGAGATAGGTTTTCCGTAATAATAAGTTAAACTTTTCAGGACAACGCGACAAAGTCCCGCGCGCCTTGAAATAGTCACTCAATGTACAATAGATACCAAACTACAGGCTTCTGTAGCTTCCTTCCACTCAAGGATGGTAGCAGCGACTTGCAGTACACCTCTCCGTACGAAGCGAGGAGGGTGACTGAGCCTTGATGCCAGAAACAACCATATATCTAGTGTTGGCGAGCGAATTACCTCCCATCTATTTACTGAAGGAACTCCCCCCCCCGTCCACCCTTTAAAGAGCAGCCGTGTACGTATAAATTCACGTACAGGGATCGCAGTGGTATCGTTGGAATGCTCTGAATGTCAGCTTTAAGATGAGACTAAGCACGTTACTGCAGCACAACTCAAGAAGAAACTATATTTAAAATGCTCAGCAGCTAATTACCTTGTATCTAATTAGTGAAGGAACTCCCCCACCCGCCCCTCTTTAAAGAGCCGTCATGTACGTATAAATTCATTTACAGGGATCGCAGTGGTATCATTGGATAGGGCAGAATGTCAGCTTTAAGATGATACTAAATACCTGAAAAGCCAAATCCGAAAATTTTAGGGTATACCCCCCTTCCTTAAATCCACCGTCCCTTGAAAATATCTGATCAAAAGGCCAGTCCAGTCAAGACTATCTTATATTATACTATACTAAAAACTGTACATTCTCAATTAGTTTTTGTTGGAACATTCATCGTGACGCAAATAAACTCCACGGTGATCTTACTTTTAGGATATTTATAAGAACAGTTCATAGTCATTTGAATACCTTTTGGCGTTCTTAGAACCGTTGTTGTATGGACAAGACATAGGTCATAACCTTAGAAACACATGCTCCAAGCAGAATACAGAGAGGAATAAATAGACACACTACGATTGCCGCCGCGCTACTGTCGATACCAGACAAAATGTGTATGATATATTGGGTTTGTTTGCAAAACCTTTTTTGAGCTGGATTTAAAGGCCGAACGAATTATCAATTTGACTTTGTTGATTAATTTCATTCTTCTGCCTTGTGTTGTGATTGTGAGTTGTGGCCTGTGGGCGGATTGTTCGCGTCTCTGGCTCTCTGTAGTCTGCACTCTGCACGGGTGTCAAGCGACAATGACGAAGACCGTGGACAGATGAAGCCTGAAGATAACCTAACATCTGACGATTCAAAACTACGAAAAGCACGATGGTCCTCTACGAAATTCCTGTTCTTCCCCCTGATCAATCAAGAGCTCAACACGTCCATAACTGTGTGACTACTTTTGAGAATCTGCAAAATGCGATCGACCATGTTTTTTCAACAATCACCAAGCGAATTGAAGGTAGGTAGGTAGGTGTCTATTTTCTACATTAGACTGAGTGAGAGTGACTGACGCTTTTGTAGGCCTATTGGAATTGAAAATATGCATATTATATCAAGAATTCCCATATATTCATCAATAATTGAATTTCCATGTTGAAAAATTAGGTACCGTAATAAAATGTGGTAACTTACTAACTTTGACCAGTGACCACTTTTTTTATTTCGAAACAATGCCATTTTTTTACCAGATGAGTTAAACTTAAATTGAAACATGCAAAATACAGGTCTATACTCTAGCTTTACTCACCATAAATTGCTGGCTCCTGCCTCTCATAGTTTTGATGTAATTTCAAAAAAAGTGATGGTCTTTGTTACCCCAGCTCTAGTCTGGAAAAGTCCTATTTTTGTCTGTAATATCGCGGCTCTAATATCATATAATTTCAGTAGGTATGAAATCTCGCGGCTCGAATGTCATAAATTTTTGTTTGATTAAAAAATCGCGGTTTGCACTTCGCAAACATGTCATTTCATAAAATTTTCAACTTCCGCAATCCGCATTGCTT